GTATTATATAGACATTTCTTTAGCTCTAAAACCCTTCATGGACCTCCTTTACGACCTGCAGCGAGCTCAGAGGTTTGCTACGCGTCGGCACGTTTTGCTTTGACCCAACGCGGGATCAAACACACAGCCTGGATTTCCCAGAAGCGTCACGAGCTGCACCTGACTGAGATGAAGGCACCCTCTCTCAACTAGGGTTGGGTGATATTGGCCCAAAAGAATTCAACATGATTGACAGCATTTAGCCAATCACGGTTAACTTGAATGTGGCCATCGTTGTGACTTTGGTCTGCCTTTTTATGCACTTCGTTTATGTCAGGGTTTCAGGGGATTAAAGGTCAGGGTTAGTTGATCTGCCTTCTATGGACTCACATGAGCGCTGGACAGTGAGAACGTGTTGCAAACATGTCATCACGTGTCACTGATCGCAGTAATTGCAAAGTGCCAAATATTATACAATCAATTGCACTCAACACGTACTCCCATGTGATCGAAAAATCTCTACTTTCGTCTACGAGATAATAAAAACACTTCTGTCCCATTTGAAGTTAAAACCTAAAGTGTGTTTTATTTGATGTGTTTCTTCGCTGAACGCTTTCGGAAACCCAGGCTGCGGCTTCCCAGCGGTGATTCCTGTGGTCTGAGCAGAAGTCTGTTGCAATCCTGGCTATAGAAAGACACCATGTAGTGTACAGACAGAGATTATGACTGGCTAGAGGGCAGTAACACGATGGCTTTCTTCGGTGACCAGTATTGTAGTTTAAAAGCCCTTACTGCTATGCATATTTGAGTCATCTCTAGTGGCTGTCTTCATGCAGGAGCAAACGAAAAACTAAAAGCGACAACAGTTTTCGGGCACAGTTCTTGCAAACCGTGTGCTTGTGGCTGCATCGTTCCCTTATTACAGATCCTTTGTGGTTAACGGAAGCCGTCTGTGCCACAAAGTGTTAAAAACCAGACTTCCTGCACCTGCATGAACACATTCATCACCTTCTATTGTCTCGTCATCGCAATGCTGCATTTAGTGTGTGCTTTCCTGAGGCAAAAGTGATTGTGGATCTTTGTATTGAAGGTTTTAATCGTTGGTAAACTTCCAAAAAACATACAACTCACAATAGAGAAAGTTAACTCTCTCGCATACTATTTTTTTCTATTTTAACTTTATTTTATTTTATTTCTTGAGTCTAATCTAGTGGCAGTGGACCTGTGAGATGAAGTTTGTTCGGGTCGATGTGCAACTTAACAGCTCCAGACAGAACCAGAATAATCAGATTATTCATTTCGAGCTTGAATTAAACCCAACAGCTAGAAATAATATGTGCTAAATAAAATAATCTTTTTGTGACACCTTTTTAAAAACAATCTGATTATTTTGGTCGTGCAATAAATTCAGCAACATCTTTATAAACATATTTCCTTCTTATATACCGATATATCTATGGACTTGAAGCCTAAACCATTTCCCCTTTTTGTCATCCTTAACACCGTTTATCTTTCCATCTTCTCTCAGTATGATAAAATAAATATCTATGTAGATGAATCATTTGATAAATGCTTCTAAAAAATAGAAATCTATATGTTTTAAGTGACTCGTGAAGCTAAAATCAGATTTATAGGAAGTTCAACGAATGCTGCCTTTTAAATCTGACTTTACATAAAGAGCTTTTCAGATATAATAAACTGGTAGATTTATTCTTGTAAAAGTCACAACTTAGATCCTTTTTGTAACCTTATAATAAAAAATAAATAACAACCTACTCACACCAGCTCCAAGTCATTATTGCACAAATTAATCCACTTCAGGAATGCTTTAAATAGTGATATTTTTTGATCAAATCTCTTTTATACTTTAAAATATTAATTCTAATATAACCGTTTTTGCATTTGAATTAGCTTTTTCCTTTAACCTTCCCTGCAGATACATTCTCTACACAATAAGATAGCTAATTAATACTCTATTCTATATTTTTATAGATTTAGTTGAAATGACCACAAAGCAGCCACCATGGTAGTTTTTTTTTTTTTTTGGTGAGGATATAAAATTTAGACACCATTTTTCGTGCACCCGGTTCAGTCCCGCTAAACTAACACAGGTGGACAATACCTGCAGAGATGTGTTTGTGGCAACTTTGCTGCTAATTCAACATTTTTGTTCGTCAGGCAGACATTCTGCTGAAAAGAATAAAATATACCCCACAAACTTTGCTGCCGCTGTCATGAACAGATCTTTGAAAAATACCCTGAAAAGTCTCGAGTTTTCTACCGAAAAGCGAAACAAAGCAGACATGAAATCCTAACTCAGATGTGACGAGCAATGAGCGTGATTTTTTTCCCCCATCTTTGTTCAACTTGCCTTTACTTCTTCATGTTTCTGTCCCCCCCGAATATGATTCATTGCATAGAACGACTGGAGATGAGAGGTCGCCTCCTTTGCCTGCGATTATTGGTTCAACCTGTTTTCTCTTCGTTCCCACAATTGGACGATGATTGTTAAATACACGCACACACAACCCCAACACACAAACATACAAACAGTAGGAACAGAACAATATAGAGGTGACTTTTTGAGTTTTTTTTTTGTTTTGTTTTTCCGCGCCGGGCAGCATGCGAGGGTTTCCCAGCGAGCGTTCACAAAGACGACATACAGCAGGAGTTCGTGTCGCTCAAGGCCTCGCAATGTCCGGCCCTGATGGGTGTTGTACCAAACCACAGATTCCCACAATGCACTGCAGGAGCAACAGCAGGGCGAATTACTACTGACCTGAGAATTTTTCCGTGACGACTTGACAGTCTGAGAGAAAAGATTTTTTTTGTTAGTTTTTTTTTGTTTGTTTTTGGAAAAGTGAGGGGCGGGCGGGAGGGATTAGAGGTCTGGATCTCCAACCAGGATAGAAAACAGAAGGTGAAAAGGCGAGTGACGTTGTGTTTCTTTTTGGTTCAAAGGTCACACAAGAGCAGATTTGTCTTCCTTTTCTTCGACACTGTTCGGAGTGTGCTTTCAGGTTGCTTACGTACGACAGAGTGAGGAGACATGCGACACATTGTTTTTTACAGAATCCCAATAAATGTCCCATTTTGGAGGAAGGACCTCCAAAAAGCCCCGCCCTTGCAGGCGATGGAAGTCCAGTTCTGCTCTGCATCTCAGTGTCTCCCTGCTGCCCTGCAGTGCTTTCGGATCCGACTACGTCTAACAAAAGCTAACATCAATCCGTTCCGGATCATGGTCTCAGTCGGAGGAACAGATCTGGGTGGTTTACAGATGAACTCTCCACAACACTGCCGTTCACCCCGTGGTGTCTGAGCAGAACATCGGTGATAAATTAGACTTGTGAAGGCAACACGTTTTCTGTTCAACCAGCTTTGAAAACGACACCAAATTGTGCTATTTCTTACCTCTTACGCTATTGCTTTTATGCTTATTGATAGTAAATCGTCAGAAAAATTGACAGGGGGGTGGCAGGTAAGAAGTAAAAAAAAAGTTACATAATAAATAAAATATAAATAACATCACAAACAATTATCAAAAAGCAATGTAAGTTTAAAAAAATAGAAATGAATCTCTCTGTGTTCTAGCCGATATTAATTCATAAAAAAGGTTGTGTTGGAAATGATGTAAACATAAAATAAATAAAACGTGCCACTTGCAGTTTTAAAGTAAAACATTTAAGATAATTAAGGCAATTTTGTCAACCTGCAACAGAAAATCAAGGCAAATAGAAAAAATTAAATAAAAATAAAATGAATTTTAAAAATAATAAAAATTAAAAAAGAGACGGGTTTGTGTGGAGCATTTAGAGACGAGCGTTTGCCACACTCTACAGGTAAATATTGTCTTCATGGCTTTGCAGTTTTACCCTTTTACACACGGCTTCACTCCCAATACCATTTATATCTTTTCATAAAAAATAAGGTCAAATAAACGCACGCACACACCACAAGTAAACAAAAGACTATTCCCCTCAATCTTTCCCCACCCAAGGCCAGATCCTCACGTGTTGCTTGACTTTTCTCTTCTTTTCGTTTATTTCTCGAGCTAAAATGTGTTTCTCAATGTCTTTATGGCCTCTGTTCTGATGAAACAGTGTAAGGTCTTGGATATAAAGTTCCATGCATTTCAAATTATTATTATTTTTTAATCCACTTTTCCTTTTTTTTAAAGAAATGGCAAGTTGTGGATTTTAGGAGGAGATTTAGAAAAAAAAAATCAGCATTCAGGAAACGGAGAGAGGTGAGGAAGAAGGACACAGTTCCAACCTGGAATGTAGACAGAAAGAGAGAAAACCGTGGAAGGAAACGCACGTCGACACGCTCGCGTCTGTGTCATCATCATCGTGTTTTCCCTTCGGTGTGAGGTGGTGATTGCTCAGTTTCCTTCTTGGTGTTTTAGTCTTCAGTACAAGAAAAACCTGCGGTGAGTTTTGACGTTTTCCCTGTGTTTTTACTTTGAAAAGAGACAAAGAAAAAAAGAGGAGAGAGGCGACGCAGCCGTAACCCCTGGACCGAGCGCAGGGCTGAGGATTTCTGCACGCCGCTGCAGCTGTAGAGGAAGAGCAGCCCTCGCCTTCATCAACAAACGGCCTCCACTGAGTTTGTTTTGCACAGATCTCTGGAACACGCAGATCTCCCACCGTTGCCACGGAGGAGGATCTGAATCCAAACCCTTCTTTTTTTTTCTTTCATTCGTCTGTCATATTTAGCCTCCAGCTGCTCGTCGGTGATGAAGAGACGCAGATGTTCGTCGCTGCTGCTGAACAATAATGGAGAGGCTGAACGATATTTTGGGTTCACTGTGCCGGAGGATGGCGGATGAAAACGGAGAGTTCCTCTGGACAAAGATGTTGGCCTGGACCCAGAATGATCTAAAAATATAAACATGAACAAAAAAAAGTTATTTTAGTAGAAATAGCCTAAAAGAAATTTGATTGTGAAATAAGTTTGTGTATGTGTTTGCAGTTTCTTGGATTTCTGTTCTGTTTCACAAGATATTTTGCTAACAGACAGGTTAATGCCAAGATTTTAAAGCAGAGATGTTTAGCAGAGTGTGTGTTGAGGATGACGTTGAGCTACTACTACACTGTTTAGCTCATCCCTCCGTCTCCTTCTCTATCTTCTGCCACTTATCCATAATCGGTCTCAAAGGCAACAGGTCCAGAAAAGAAACCCAAACATCCCCCGGGTGAACCTGAGGTGTTCCCAGACCAGAGAGGGTACATTATCCCTCCAGTGAGTCTGGGATCTTCTCCAGGGCCTCTTACCAGTGGGATGTATCTGGAACACCTCTAATCAGATGAACCATCTCAACAGACTCATTTCATTGTGGAGGAGCAGTGGCTCCATTCTGAGCTCCTCACCCCGTCTCTAAGGCTGACCCCGGCCACCCTACGAAGGAAGCTCGTTTCGACCGCTTGTATTTCTTGATCTTTCGGTCGAGATTTACACCTCATGACCGTAGTTGAGGGCTGGAATGTACGACAGACCAGTAAATCCAGAGCTTTGCCTTTCAACTCAGCTCTTTCTTCACCACGACTGACTTAAGCAAGATCCTCATTAGTGTTACATCCCCAGGGTGGATGTTTGTTTTTGCATTACAGTAATGTCTTGAGGCCACATCCAGTGCAGTAATGCTATGCCAGTCTGGTAGGTGGAAAAACCTATCTGACTCACAGCACACTAGAATCTGGGACTGGGCAGTTGCTGCTGTTCCAGTAACTGCAGGACCTGGAGACAGAATGGTCAAAAAATACAAATTTGAGCCAAGTTTTAAGACAGACACAGAAGGCGGGTCTTCTTGGAGTAACTTCAACACTCAATCCTCTGCAGGGAACTGATGAACTATAGACAGGCACGGGAACTGATTAACGGCCCAAATCTAAGGT